TCTCCCGTGTTATTCTCCAAAGTTAATGTAAACTTGAATAATGTACTTCATTTGAATGTAATCATTCTGTTGGTTGTTGTTTGTGGAAGCTCCAGTGAATGAGCCCCATTAACTGAGTTTTACACATCACTTTAAATGGAAGATCCCCATAGGCCCCTCCCACTCGATCGGATCGGTGATCGGTATCGGCCGATACTGATTCCGGCGATCTGCCCCAAAATTGGCGATCGGAGCATCCCTAGTAGAAACTGTGCAGAGTAGTCTATATGCAGTAATTGGAATATTGATGTGAGTTGCAAACAGATGAATGTTATGTATGTTCTTTCAAAAGTTCAGGTGTTTAACAGTCTGATGGCCTATGTAAAGCACTTTGGCTAAATGGCTCTAACACTTTGTATTTAAAACGCATAGGTCCTTGTTGATGATCCTAACCTCAATTTATTTTGTGTGTGTTTCCTTTCCCAGGTTAGTTTTGGACCGTAGAAGACAGAGAAGATGAGACCCGAAATGTGAACAGGACTGGCAATCCGTGACGGAGAACAACGTAAAAAAGGGAATGTACAATTTTCTCAACGGGAATCAGCATTATTTACACTTAAAGACAATGGAGAAAAGATTTTGTTGCTCTTTACTTTAAACGCAGAAAAAACGACAGACGTGCAACATAGAGGAACGGAGTACAAGAAAACAAAAAACGACAAAGCGGAATAAAAAACGAGACGTCGAGACCGATGTAGGAACTAAAGGAACTTTTCCGTAGAGAACAAAAGAAACAAACTTCCTCTCTAGGCTTTACTTTGATTTTCCTCTGACACCCTCAAAGTCTAAAAGTCTTTATAATCATCTGTATTATCATTTATCTGTTTGTTTTTTGTTCAATTGTTGCCTTAAAGAGGCGTATTGGGAGCAAGGAAAGGAGAGCATTTAGTATCCTCTCACAAGTAGTATCTTATGTTACGATATTAATGATATATTTTAGTCCTCATTTATTATTTTTGTATTCTCATCAGTATTTACTCATGAAATGAAATGGATGTATCTCACTTTATATTCATGACTTGGATTAATTTCTTTTTTATTTTCCATTCATTCCTGGAGAGGGAGGAGTGATGTTGTCGGGAATGTCAGGGTCGAGTTTTGCCACAAAGACATTATTGCCTTGGAGAACGGACATCTGTTGCCTTTCAAAAGTCACGTGAATGAATGAGAAATTAGTGTGTGTGAGAGCGTGAGTGTGTGTGTGAAAGAAACCGAAAAAAATGCCAATATCTTGGGTCTTTGATTCCATTTTTGGTCCTTTTTGAAAAGTGTTCTTATTTTTCATCACTTGGGGTTTTTACGGTACAGATAGTATTCATGGAGAATCCGATGGAACAATCTTATTTTTCAAAATACACAAAAAGGAGGACAGAGCCTTTCAAGAGGAGATGATAACACTATGGACTAATGCGTGTCCGCCATCTTTAAAAGGAAAAAGATCAACAGGACATGGAAGAGTTTTCATCGCGTGTGAAACGGTGTACTGGTTGCACGTAGGAAGTTATGAAAACATTTTTGGAACTGGAAACTTCGGAGACGTTGTCATATATGAACGCTGTGACCGATCAATGGGGAGTAAGCCTTACCAAGTACTTATGAATGGTTTAATTCATAGTGAAATCGCAGCGATATTTGATCGGGAGATGCAAAATCCATTCAAAAGAAGCATTGCCATAAAATTTTAAAAAGTGCGTCGTACATGGTGTTGTGTCTTTATCATTTTGTATTGTTATTCTTGTAAAAAAAAAAAAGACAGTTATCAAAACCATGCTGTATTAGAAACCTGTCAATATGTATATGAATTATGAATACACTTAAAAAATGCTTCAAGTACACTCTCTTCTTATTTCAGAAACCTATTTTTGTCACTTTTGTTGCACATAAAAAAAACACCTGTTTCAGTTTCTTAAGACATTTCTGCCCCAATTTCTTTCCCATTTTCACCAAACTCTGCCTCATGTTTTCTTTTGCATTCCTATTCTCAATGTATCTCTCTATGGCAGGTAAGTAGCTATCTCCGTCTCTATTTCTGTTTCCTTCACTTGTTTCTTCTGTCTGTTTTTCAGTTTCAGGGGAGTGGATAACTGACTCTTCAGTTCTGTCTTTAGAAGACATGAAGTTATGAATGCTCATTTTCTGAGTCTAGAAACTTCTACCTGGGCAATTCTGTGCTTCTGTCAATCTTGTGTCTGGAAGAAAGTGAGAGAAAAGTGAAAGAATCTGCCTAAAGAAACTAGGGCAACTTCAGGGTAAAAATAGACCATTTTATTCCAAATTCCCTAAGGTTAAAAGTTCAAATAGGTGTTGAAATGCAGATGCAATTTTCCAACTTTTGTAGTGGCAATTGTATTATGTTAATGTGTGCATTTACTTACGTTTTGTTATGGTACAAATGTAGATCCTTTAATATTATGGACCAATATGGTTTTCTTACAGTAGGACAGTCACTTCTGCAACGATGCTTCATGGTAAGTGGAAATAAGCTTTATATCTGTTCATATGAAAAACGTTTTTGGGTTTTTTATTTGATTTACTATTTAAATGTAAGCAAATGAAAGCTTTAGCGCAAGTTCAATAAGGAAGACCTAACACGAGTCACTTACACGTCACTCTATGGCTCCCTTCCCCCCTCATTAAATACGAGGGCGTCACCCCTCAGCAGCCAATCGCTGCACATGCTAAATTCCTTAAATGCCTGCTCTTCCTCCCTGTCAGTTGTCATTGCAGGTGACCACACGCAACCCGCCTCCACCCCTCTCGCCTCCTGTCTCCTTCAGGACAAAGCTAAACCTTCCTCCTTCAGACCGGTCTCACCTACTCATCACCACCACCAGTGGACCCCGGGGATTTCATCGGAGCGGTTCTTTCCCTCCTGAATGATTATCCTGCAAACCGGGGCCTTATCGCCAAACACCATTACATTCTCCTGTTGTATTATCATGGCAATCATTTCATTCATATGACGTGTAAACAATAAATATGTAATTCTTACATCACGTCTCTCCGGTTTGAACTAACTTACTAAGGTAACTAACTTAAGTTAATTGATAAGCCAAATGGTCAAAAATAAATCGTTACAAGTAATGGATCAAGAATACAAATACTAGCTTTTGATGGATAGATTGTTAGCCAACAACGTTAGCTAAAAGTAATAAAAAAGTAGCTGAAATTAATGAATAAACTGCTGAAATCATTATCTTAAAGTAATACACACACAGTAAGCCATTATTTATGAAAATACAGTTGATATAGAAAGCTAAAAGTAATTGACATGTAAAACAGTTGCTAACAGCGTAAACAGTTGAAATAGCTAACGTCATTCAAAATTGTTAGCTAAAACTAGCTCGTTAATTTGCTAAAAACAGTTTTTAAAAGTTAGTATAACGATTGAAGTTAAAAGTCCTGAAATACAAATGTAAATCAAAATGTAAAAGACATTTTACAAGATTTATATTAAAATATTTTCGTCCAAATCTAGAAGTAGAATGAAATGAAAACACTCAAGTAAAGTATGCTAACAAAATAGTATTTGTATAGGCTTATATAATTAGTATTTAACAGTATCCAGTTAAGTATCCAGAAGGATTAGGTTTTCTTGTTAACAGCTTAAAACCTTTGCAGTGAATGGAAATCCCTTCACTGCAAGTTGTCCCTGAACATTAGTGTTAACATATGGTACTGCAAAGCTATTTCCCCCAACTAATAGTATCTGTATCTGATATATGTATTCCCCATTTCAAGGTCATTTTGATTTTTCACATCAAAACAGTGAGTGAAAGAGGGATGGGGGTGAGAGATGGATCAAAAATAAGTCCAGGAATCATAATGAAAACAGATGGAACAGAGTTGTCTGCTCTGGATTTATACAGATGGATTAAAGAAGAGGACGGTGTGTTTGTGTGTGTGTGTGTGTGTGTGTCAGCAGGACAGCGGCCAAAATCCTCCATCACTCTGATATCTGATGAAGAGGAGGCCGGATGTTTCTGTCTTCACCTTCATCGCCTCACTCGATGAGAGAACTGAGGACAAAGTTAGAAGAAAAAAAAGCCGAAGGAGGTGAGTGATTTAAAAAAAAATTGCAGGTAAATTCCCTCCTTGACAACGGTGGAATTATTCTTTCAAGTGCCCAAAAAACGATGTGGAAACGGTTGAAATACCTCAAAGATGGTTAATCAATTGACAGCTTTCGATGAATATTGAGCTAAAAGTTATAGAAATGTGGATTAGCATAAAAAATCCTACTCAAGTAAAAGTACAAAAGTACTATAATCAAAATATAAATAAAGTTTGTTTGTAGTATGGCTGATTTCAGATACCAAATATATCAAATGTATTGGATTTTACTCAGCGCTGCATTAATGTGTAAAATTGGAGCTTATTTGAATTACTTTACTGCTGCCTAGTTTAATCTATAATATAACGTATAATATGACACTCCACTGCTGCTGATGTCAAGGTATAGCTTGAGCATCTGTCTCTTAGAGATGATAAACTATTAAACCTCTTTTTAAACCAAGGCTGTTTTGATTCAGCCTTGCAACAGTCTCCAGTATTGTGCTGTTTTTCTGTCACACTGTTTTTATTCTTTAAAAGAAATGAATCATGTGAAACTCTGGCACTCTCTTTCAAACACTATTCATCTCAGAAAATTGTGCAGCGCTGCTTCTCCTTGGTTACTAAATACGTGCTGGTGATATTTTTACTGACATGCAGTCGGGTATTGTAACTAAGTATATTTACTTTGGGTATTTCCATTGTATGCTACTCTTTACTTCTACCTCACTACATTTTGTGAGCCACTATTGTAATTTGTTCCCACTAAATGTATTTTGACAGTTACTTTTGAGATTAAGATTTGGTAATAAAAAAAATTGTTTACGTGAAAAACCTTTGACATAATCTCTAAAGATCAAAACAACTGAGAACATTATCAAATACGTTAAAAAAATAACATCCTAAACATAGATAATTTGTGTAGTAGATCATTGTATATATAACGGCAACATGCTGCTGTGACAAAAAAAAATCACAATTTGGGATCAAAAGATACATCAAATCTAATTTAAAGGGGACCTATCATGCAAAATGCACTTTTTGATGTCTTTTATACATAAATACGTGTCCCCGGTGCGTCGTGGAACTCACGCAGCGTCAGAAAATAAAACCCTCTCTCTTTTCCTCCGTACCCACATCTTTTAAAAACAGGGGTACAACAAGCGGATACAGATTTGCTGCCGATATGACGTAATTTCGGATGGTGGACCCACAGAGAGTTGCTATCAGAAACAATGCCTGACGTGTTGTTGACGTAATCTCGTCTTTGTTTACATTAGCAAGCCTCGCTAACACTCAGAGCTAACATGTACTGGAGAGCACAAAAAAGGAACTCACCTTGTGATAAACCTGCAAGAGAAAAAGCATTTGAGCTCCATACTGTTTCAGAAATAATCTTTGATGTGGTTTAAACAGGATGGTGTTTTATCACAACAGAATTTAACTTTATCTCCGGTAGAATTCTGATCAGGCATTAGCTCCGCCTCCTCCTCTTCTTCTTTTTTTTCAAGCTAAGGACCCAAAATCCGCGTTTCTCTAACAGGGCTGCAAAAGAGGGGTTTGAGGGATTTCTCAAATGCATGATCTGTTTGTATTTTGAGAAAAACACATCATAGACATGTTTTTATATATTTGTATATATCTGAGACCCATAATATATGCCTTAAAATAGCATGATAGGTGCACTTTAATATCGAGCTGACTTTCAGTTTTCCATATGTTTTGGATATTTGATCCTTTAAAATATGCACACATCTTAATGCACATCATGTTCATTTAATTCATTGAATCCTGCACACCCATTCGAATAGTTTGCACATTTCTCTTAGCTCTTTTAAAATCTACACAGCTCTCCACATTAAATTCTACTATTTTGTCCTATTTGTATTGTACTTAATTATTTGTGGATTTATATTTTGTGTACATATTTCTCTTATTTTTTCCTTTTATAATAGTTTTTACAATAGTTTATTTTTTATAAAAGCACTATTTTTGCTCCTGAATACATTTTACAGCATTAATGTATGCACAATTTACACCAAAGCAAAATCCTCCTAAGGAATATAAAAAGGTTAGAAAAGTGTCAAAAGAACTATAATTTCACGGGAAGACTAGGGGTCGAGGAATGTGAGAATGTGGTTAGGGGTCTTGAACAAATATAATGTTTCTAATGCTATTTTATGCTCTTAAAGATCCCCTATTATACTGTTTTTCATCAATATATAATAGGTCTCAGATATATCCAGAACCTGTCTCTGATTGGCTGAAACACCAAACAGATCATGGCAGCATCCCATAATCCCCTCTGTTTCAGCCCTGTTTCCAAAGTGCTGATTCTCTGTCTGTTACTTTAGATGAAAATAAGGAGCCCCTCCCCACGCCCCTCTGAGAGACATTTGGTTACAAATAACTCAATGGTGCTCTAGGACAGTGGTTCCCAACCTTTTTTCCCAAGAGCCCCCCCAAATGACTCCTGTTGGAAGTTGCGCCCCCCCCCCCCCCCCACACACACACACTAGGGGCGGAGGGGGGGGGGGGTTGCGCAACAGCGGTAATTAAAGTTTAAAAGTCTCAAAAATGCTACAACTACTGTCACAAACTGGATGAATGTGAAGTATTGTGTTAAAGGAGGATGAAAGCGTAATTAAGGAGCACTATTGGAGCGACTTTGATGGTTATTGGACTCAGGATTAATTTATTTAGATTCCCGCTGAATGAAGAAATTAGAGGACGGCGCAAGTGGAAACAATTCACAAAGGGATTAAACTGTTTAAAACACATGCTCAAAGTAAGCCGGATTTTGCCGATGTGTTTATGTGGATTCACAATTGTAATCGTAAATCGTAAATAATCTACATGGAGGAGACCGATCTGATCAGAGCAACTGTGACAAATAATCCAACTGAAACCGGCATGGACAATGACTATGTTTTAAAAATGCGCTTATCCAGACAAGCCTGGTTTGGACACTTAACGCGCAGAAGAAACATTTCTATTAAAGAAAGAATTATACATTTCTGTCTTTTTATGCCTTTAATACTAACTTGAATTTTTATTAAAATTAATTAGTCAATTATTTTTTATATTTTATTGTAATGTAGAGACAAGGCTTTTAGTGACAATCATGTATTGCCTTACAATTATATGTAACAAAAAAAAGTTTTAAAAAATAAAAATAAAAAGTCTAAATATGATATTTGGCCTCAAATCATCTGAGGCCTGGCGCCCCCCCCTGCGATCTTTGGCGCGCCCCCAAGGGAACCACTGCTCTAGGAGGAGATTCAGGTGATAAGGGGGGGGGGGTTTACCTTGGTTGCTGATTGGCTAATGGTTACACAAGAAAAAACACCGTTATGACATCATAAAGTGGCCAAAATCTGATCAGCTCATTTTCAGACAGGTTTCTATATAAATGGATCAGGACAAAAAGAGAGAGAATCTTTGTTCCTGAAACTTTCAGTCTCTTTCCACAGAGGGGACACATGTTGATGTAGAAGAGACATGAAGAAGAGGGGACACATGTTGATGTAGAAGAGACATGAAGAAGAGGGGACACATGTTGATGTAGAAGAGACATGAAGAAGAGGGGACACATGTTGATGTAGAAGAGACATGAAGAAGAGGGGACACATGTTGATGTAGAAGAGACATGAAGAAGAGAGGACACATGTTGATGTAGAAGAGACATGAAGAAGAGAGGACACATGTTGATGTAGAAGAGACATGAAGAAGAGAGGACACATGTTGATGTAGAAGAGACATGAAGAAGAGGGGACACATGTTGATGTAGAAGAGACATGAAGAAGAGGGGACACATGTTGATGTAGAAGAGACATGAAGAAGAGGGGACACATGTTGATGTAGAAGAGACATGAAGAAGAGGGGACACATGTTGATGTAGAAGAGACATGGAGAAGAGGGGACACATGTTGATGTAGAAGAGACATGAAGAAGAGGGGACACATGTTGATGTAGAAGAGACATGAAGAAGTGGATTTTGCATAATAGGTCCCCTTTAATGTCTTCCATTTTTGTAAAGCACTTTGTAATTGCCTTGTGTTGAAAAGTGCTATATAAATAAACTTGCCTTGCCTTATGTGTAAACCTACTTGACAATAAACCTGATTCTGATTCTCTCTCCACCTGTTCCCCAAGGCTCCATCTAACCCCCAGATGAAGGCGTTTGTGAAGCAGATGCGAAGCCCCCGTCTCTCCTTCCTCCAGACCACGGCCTCCCTCTTCATGGCCGGCTTCGCCCTCTTGTCCTCCTTCTGGTGCGAGGGGAAGCAGAAGGTTCCCAAACCACTGTGTTCTCCGGTCAAACACCAAAACTGCATCCCCGTGCCCGGAGTCGCCAACGCCACAAACATCCAGTTCTCCTGGGAGACCGGAGACGACCGCTTCGTCTTCCCCACCTTCCACACCGGACTCTTCCTCATCTGCGAGGAGAACATCTACAAAGACGCCTGGGGTAAGAGATTCTATCATCAACGCCTAAAATGATGAAGGCACTGACAAGGTAGTCCACCACGGAGCTCCACAGGAGGTCTTTCCTCCCAGTGGCGCTCAAACATACTTTCATATTTACCTCCTAACTAAGATTGAATTAAACTTACTTATGGTCAGTATCAGAAAAGTTTTTGTTGTTATTTCTGAACGTATATATATTATAACTGAGATCTTCGGTAGATAATGATAGGAATACGTTCTTACCTAAAATTAAATCAGGTTTGTTTGCAAGATATTTAGTCTATGCTGATCTGATAGAGAAAAACCCTAAAGTGCATCTTTGGCTGGACGGGAAATCGTGACTGAAAGGAAATCAACTCTTTTAAATAGAGACTATACTCCCCATTTTCAAACGACTGAAAACAAATAAAACAAAGCAAAATAAAATCACGCAACATAAAAAGATATTAAGCACGAGTGAAACAAAACATTTAAAATGATATGGACTAGTCTATAATCATTACTGTTGTGTTTAGAAAGAAGTCATGTTTCTTCAAAGGTGAAAACAAGACAACAAAATCAACTCCTTGTCAAGTCAGGGGAGAATAAAATGATCACAAAGAAAGGTAAAAAGTAAGATTTACAGTCAACAATCAGCATTATGTTGAGATGTTCTAAACCGTGGTCATAAATGTTGATCAGGTTTTGTGAAGTCGATGATATTCTGAAGGAGAGATAAGGATACAGAAACAGGAAGTGAGAGTAACTGTGGCACCAGTGCGATACACAATGAAATAGGACAGCAATCCAAGGTGATGAAGTGAAATGAGGCCACGGGTGGGTTCACTTGTATTTGTGTGTGTGTGTGTGTGTGTGTGTGTGTGTGTGTGTGTGTGTGTGTGTGTGTGTGTGTGTGTGTGTGTGTGTGTGTGTGTGTGTGTGTGTGTGTGTGTGCACAAAGAGGATTATCATCTGTGTGTGTGTGTGTGTGTGTGTGTGTGTGTGTGTGTGTGTGTGTGTGTGTGTGTGTGTGTGTGTGTGTGTGTGTGTGTGTGTGTGTGTGTGTGTGTGTGTGTGTGTGTGTGCTGCTCACAGAGATTTAGACTTCCACAGCATGATTATGGATTAGAAACCCTGAGAGAGAGAAAGGTTAATGGGATTCACAAACATCGGCGGGGTTTTAACCGTCTCATTTGAGGCTGATTTGCAACTGATTGCAAGGATTGAGTTTGAATGAAACCGCAGTGCAGCCCAAAGTTTTTAACTGACCTACTAGGAGGTCAATATATACATAGAAATAGATCCTTATTATGGTTAATAGTTTGCTAATGGTTCGAAATAAAGCAAACACAAATCATCCTTTCTGCGCCAAGAGGTACAGATGTCCTTCTTTATGTCAGAATACCTTTATTAGTCCCGCAGAGGGGACATGTGCATCGTTACAGCAGGAAAGAGCCACAGACAGCTTAATGTTACATAATGTTAAAAAGTTACGATATAATACAAAATATTATTTAAAAAAAAAGTTTAAAAAAATACTTTTAATACTTTTAATCCTGTAAAAGTTATTAGGATTTAGCAGCCAGGTATATATTACACAGTTATTAATGGCATATGTATATTGCACATATGGCACATATGGCACATGTATACATGATGGTATTATTTGATAAGTAATGTTACACATGTTGTTGAACCATAATTTGTACAACTTAAGCAGCAGTTTTCACGTGACAAATTGCATAGCAACGCAACTGACATTTATTTAGACAATTTCGTTTAAACTGCAGACTATTTTCTTGATTAAATCAATGAAGTCCCTAAAATCAAAGAAAATAGTTTAATTTTATCTCTTTAAATGTCTCTCTTTTGTGTATCTTTGGCCAATGTAAAGCTTTAACGGTACGTCCACACGGCGGCGTGCGTTGAAGCTTGCCGGTGAGCTTGTCTGAAGCTCGACCACCAACCAATCACATGAATCCCCCGCCCCGGACACACAAGCACGCGGTTTGATTGGCTAGAGCTTGTACTGGCATATGATTTGATTGGCTGACGCTTCCGTCGAAGCTTCAAAAGTAGAACATTGCTCAACTTTTGAAGCGAGCAACGCGAGCAAAGCGAAGCGACGGAACCACAATGCAGTTCGGCAAAGTGTGACGTCACCCCATTCAAAGTGAATGGGCAGAAGCGTTGACGCTTCAACGCACCCCGCCGTGTGGAGTGACAATTGAGGGACACACATAGGCGAATATTTGGACTTTCCTAGTATTGATTACGATTAAATAAAAACATTCTGGAATACTGTCATTTAGAATTGAGTTTCAGAGTCATTACTAATACACACACAAGAAAAAGTAGGCCCTCTAAGCATTTAAATGAATATCAATGAGTTATGTAGAACGGTGGCCCTGAGAGCTCTGTGCTGAAACAACATAGGCAAAAGGCAATGAAGACAAATCTATAAGACCGCTCATGCACAGCATTTAGAGATAAACACTGCAATGGGAGAGAACAAATAAATACCAAAAAAAGCTGCAAATTGAGTTTTCAAAAACTTGAAATTGGTTATTTTTCTCACACATTTTCTGTTTGCATCTGCGTTGTTAAGTCCCAGTGTGTGGAGTTTATGGGCCAGCGTAATTTAGAGGCATATGCGGTCCTCTGATTATTGCAGCTGGCATGTAAACACTTTGGTAAACAAGCCTCAAAGAAGCTTAACCGCCTGCAGAACAGGTTGTTCCTATTTTCTCCGAAATGGCTTTCCTAGCAGTGGAGGAATGTTAGGAACCTTGACTCAATAGCTTGGAGGACTCAAATGCACAACCCAGAGACAAAAAAGGTTTGAAGAAAAATAATCTTTACTTGCAAAAAACAAAATCACTCTTTTAGAGGAAATAACAAACTGACAAAAATAAAGCGCTCTCATGGAGGAAAAAAGGCAAAACACCGAATCTCTTTAAGCGATGGCTTGGATCTGGCTTCTTGGGGCAATGAACAAGACGAACCGACAGCTAACAAGGGGAGACAGGACAATATATACATGAGGTAAGTGAGCACAGGTGGAAACAATCAGGGGCGGGGCAGGGCAGACACTGACGATGGCGGGAAAAGGGACCAGAGCAGGAAGTAAAGGGGCCTGGAATGAGACAAGGTGAGTACAAAATAAAACAGGAAGTGGAATATAAACTAAACTAACATGAACATGACGATCACAAACATGACAAAATTGACGGGACACTACAAGGAAGAAAAACACTCAACGTCAGTGTGGCTGAAAATAAATCATTTATGTAAAAAATAGAAACTACAATACTCATTTTGTGCAGATTCTCAGTTGTATTGTAAACCCACTCCCGGCAGGTTTAATCCGAACAGATTCTATAATCTGCTATCAGTTTAATTTAACTGTTCCCTCAATCTGACCAATTTGAAAACACATGCACAGCATTGATAACAAAGGGAGTAAAAGCCACCGCGTTTTAAGACAAACAAACTCAATTGTCTCACTTTTCTAAACGCTGTGAATACGTAATAAGCGTTCTACCTTTTCTTGTTTTTGTTTGCATGTGTTCTCCTTTGTTTGAACTCTCAGGGCCACCGTAGATTTTAGCCTCAAACAGCTGTCATGCAAACACATTGGCAAAAGAAAATGAACTCGCTCGGAGGAGAAAAAACACAACTAAAAGACAAAAATCATTCATGTAAAGAAACTCAAATAAAACCCAACAGCGGGTTTAATCCGAATAAATCCTATAATCTGCTATCAATTTAATTTAACTGTTCCCTCAATCTGACCAATTTGAAAACACATGCACTAAAAAAAACAGCAAAGTGAGAAAACACAACCAACAAAATGTCACCATGTTGTTGTTTTGAAATGTTCTCGATGCTTTGCACATCGGTGTTCTCCTTTGTTTGAACTCTCAGGGCCACCGTAGTGTTTAACCTCAAACTGATGATGGCAGCTGTCATGCAAACACTTTGGGCCACAAAGAAGCTTAACCGTCTGCAGAAACAGCTTGTTCCTATTTCTATAATGTTTCTATTTGATAGTATTGCCTTCAGTGGTGAGAAGAAACTCCTACGGGGAGAAAACAAAATGCTTTCGTGTTGAAATAATAAGTTAAATGAAAAACAAGACACACTCACAGTCTTGTTTGTGTTTACTACTCAGATGTTTCCCGTAGAGCCGTTTCCACAAATCTGATAATCTCCCAGCAGTTTATAGCAGGACGTGAACACTCTTTACCTCCTTCTGGTTACTCGCACAGTAATTAGATTGCAGTGTTCATTTCAATGTATAAATGCACTTGATGCACAGAGGATTCTTTTGAAAGGGGAAAACAGAGTTTGTGAAATATCAGAATACTTTCATCATCCTATTTGATACTGTTGGTACTTGTAAATGTCGATAGGTATGTACATGTAGCCCTGTAAATATGATGTCCTTTATTGTTTTATGTTGTGTTATGTTTCATGTGGAACCTATTTGCTGCAGGTCCCTTGGAAAAGAGATCAATGATCTCAATGGCACCTACCTGGTTAAATAAAGGTTTGAAATGAAATGAAATCCCGCGGGTAATTGGGTTTGGGGACAGTTGCTGCATTTGAAATAGAAATCAATAAAGGAAGAAGAAATAAAATAAATAAGAATTGTACGGAAGAGGATTAGGGCCACCGTCAAAAGTGTCACGGATAGTTATATACTCAGTAAAGTAAACATGTCCGCATTGTACTACAATATATCACTGCTGTGGGGGTCACTTTAACATCTCACTATTAAAAAAACGATTTGTTTTAAAATATCAATTTAATGGTTTATTTTTGTGTTTTTTTTATCTGTCTTTTGATTCCTAGAGGAGAAATGTCGAGGGTTTTATACTTTGACTCCAGGATCTGAAGTAGGTAAATATCTTCATCACGTTCCCTTGTGTTTCTTTGTTATCTGATTGTTATCCAAACCCTTCATCAGTGTCGTCCTCCTGCCTGTGGGTTGAAGGCCAAAGATTCACGAGGGAAGTCTTAACACAGGTTTAAATATCAAAGATGGGTTCTGGTAACAGTAAAACAGGAACATGCGTTGTCTGGGAATTCAAAATGGATGAAAGAGAAAGATGAAAGGAATATAAAAAGGTTAGAAAAGTGTCAAAAGAACTATCATTTCACGGGAAGACTAGGGGTCGAGGAATGTGAGAATTTGGTTTGGGGTCTTGTCAAATATCTGGAACAAACCTGCAGGTCTGCTGCAACTCTGACTACTTTTAAATCCAGGCTGAAGACTTTCTTCTTACTTTTTTAACTGAACTATTCACATCTCACACTGCACTGTCACTTATTCACGTTTCATTGTCTTTGCTTTTTAATGTTTCTAATGTGTTTTATGCTCTTAATGTCTTTCATTTGCCTAAAGCACTTTGAATTGCCTTGCCTCCCCAGCGATGATGTGGTTTTCTGTCACTCTGGAGATCCTGTACGTGGCTCTTCTGATGATCAGCTGTTCTCTGCTGTCGGTGCAGCTCTGCATCCGGACCTTCTGCCCGTCCACGCAGCGCTGCGGACAGCTGCTCAACGCCTTCGCTGCTCTCTCCACGGTCCTGGGAGGTGAGGATGATATTTAAAGGTCTTCTATCATACAACTTTTTAATACGATAATTCTTGAATGGTCAGATCAAGTCTGACATTTGACTTGCATCACAGCAGCTCCATGTGTAACATCAACAGACAGATATCAAGACACAATACATGAAAAACAAACATTTAACATAACAGCACGATCAGTGAGAGACAAGCTGCTCAAAGAGCCTTCAGCGTGCATCTGATCTGGATTCAGCTCTGTGTCTACTGAGAGGACTGACTGGAGCACAAAGGATGCTTCAGTCTGACTTCATTGAATCTCCCATTAGATGGTAGCAGTTCATATTCTCTGTTAGAGCATGCTTTGGGTCCCAGATGATGTTGGACAGTCTTATTAGGTTGTTATGATATGCTGACTGAGTCAGAAAGTCTTTGACAGGGTGGACCAACAATCTTTGAGCAGATTTTTAACAGGTGGAGCAGTTTTGACTTTAAAGCTGTTGACAATGTCCTTTATACACAAATGTGTGTGTAAGGGAACTCACAAAGGGTCAGAAAACAAAACAAAACCCTCTCTCTTTTCCTCCGTACCCACATCTCTAAAAACGTAGTACCCCTCACTGCAGTGCGCAGTACCTCAAGCCCCTCCTTCTCAACCTTTGAGGCACGTGACTAACGGCCCCTCCTTCTCAACCTTTGAGGCACGTGACTAACGGCCCCTCCTGACTAACGGCCCCTCCTTCTCAACCTTTGAGGCACGTGACGAGCTTCACAGTTCTGTTCTGTTAATCATAGCGTCAGAGTATTAACTATTTTAACATATTAATATAAATATATATACCTTTGAGACACGTGACGAGCTTCACAGTTCTGTTCTGTTAATCATAGCGTCAGAGTATTAACTATTTTAACATATTAATATAATGATACCAATGATGATGGCGAGTGATCTGTCGCCATGGCAACGGCATTTAAAAATGTAAAACTCAAATTAAACACATTAATAGCCTTCAAAGCATATTTTAATGTCTATTTGCATGTTAATTGCATCAATTATTTCAGTTATGACTTCAAGAAAGGGCCTTCATTTGTTTTTTAACTTTTTTATTTGATTTTAATTTCAGTGTCAATATTGTATATTTACTCACTTTTTACTGAAAAACATGTGATATAAATGAAATCATATCACATTATTTCCTACCAGTATTTTAAAAAATATATTAAAAAAGTGCCATCGTATTGACAAATTGATAGAATTGACAGGATAATATCAATGGTAATATAATACTGTGAACAGAGCCATTCCGCATGTACTTCTACTTTTGATACTTCGAGTACATTTAGCTGATAATACTTATACTCTTTTACTTAAGAAACACTTTGAATTCAGGACTTTCAATTTTATTGAACACAGAGACAGGGACAGGACAAAATAAAACACAGACAGATTCTGACAACTATTACATTTTGAGGCATTAGTGAACCTAATACAGATTGTAACAGTTCCCCCCCAGCAGCGCTCACTCATGACGCATTCAAATTATGGCCTGCTTCTTTTGTGGAACCTCTTCATCCTGAAATATATTTCACAAAGACAGGTTACATGTTTAACACTCACACTGGTTCAAGACTTTATCATTTGTGATTCAACAACTTATACCTGCATTGCCTTTTCCTCCCGTCGCCTCTTGCAGTCTTGCGACCTCTGTTGTTCAGACCTTGGTGAATGAAAGACAAACATTACAAATATTAATTAAAAATGATATAGTCAGGTTACAGTGTAAGAAATAGTTTCACGAATGCAAATGTAAATTGTAAAATTAAGAGCTGGGCAGGTGCTGCAGTGAGCAGGTGAGATGGTGGGGTGAGCTGGGCAGGTGCTGGAGTGAGCTGGTGAGATGGTGGGGTGAGCTGGGCAGGTGCTGGAGAGAGCAGGTGAGATGGTAGAGGGAGCTGGGCAGGTGCTGCAGTGAGCAGGTGAGATGGTGGGGTGAGCTGGGCAGGTGCTGGAGTGAGAAGGTGAGATGGTAGAGGGAGCTGGGCAGGTGCTGCAGTGAGCAGGTGAGATGGTGGGGTGAGCTGGGCAGGTGCTGTAAGTCGCCCTACAGTCACAGCGTTTGGCTCATGTGAATAGACATGCCGTAAAAACTGGCCCCTATTAATTATGGTCTGTGAGCAATAAAGACAATGAAAATGGCTTGCTGTTCTGCAGCTTAAGCCACACTTAACAATTGTGAACTCTGAAAACAAGAAACAATAGTAAAGTCAATAAGCTTGAAGACATTAAGCTCTCATTGTAAATAATGTGAAAATACAGACAGCTATACCTCTGTGCCTCACAGAAGAATGGCTTTTGGCATGGTATTCCACCTGAAGCCTCTGACCCTGGTATTGGCAGAACGGGCAGTGATAACTGCCAGAATTACAAATATACACTTTTGGGCTCCCATCATGGTGTAAGTGTGTGATGTGTTTCTGGTCAAAGAAAATAAACACAAACAAAATGGTTAGGCAATAGGCAGGAATAAAATAAGCTGCATATACATTTATTTTGTAAAAATCGAATTGAAATATAGTTTATGCATAGTTTTTTCAGGACTTTGCTTATACAGCAATCCTACTATTACATAGTATAGTTATTAGTTCTCAAGTAGTGCAAAAATAATATAAAGACTTTCCTAAAGTTTTCAGGACTTTGCTTATACAGCAATCCTACTATTTTGAAGCAACACAAATGTAGTTTTACTTAAAATCAACACATTTTAAACCGCAGCAAAAACAAATAGTTAATTTATTCAGGGATACGACCATACTTGCCAACCTTGAGACCTCAGAAAACGGGAGCATTTCAAGACTTTGAGTTGCGCGCGCTGCTAAAGTGACGTGCTACCATGGAAACCAAACAATGGTGTAGCTGTATTAAACAGTCCTGAGTAAATCTGATTTAGTCAGAAATCGGGAGAAATATGACCATGGGAGGAAACCGGGAGAGGGTGATGAAATCGGGAGTCTCCCGCGAAAATCGGGAGGGTTGGCAAGTATGGAGACGACAGCAAATAAGTGAGACTTAAAATAATATAAAGACTTTCCTAAAGTTTTCAGGACTTTGCTTATACAGCAATCCTACTATTTTGAAGCAACACAAATGTGGTTTTACTTTCAATTAACACATTTTAAACCGCAGCAAAAACAAATAGTTAATTTATTCAGGGATACTTACCTCCATCGTGACAGAACTGCTACCCCGGAAACAGGATGTCACGTGCCTCAAAGGTTGAGAAGGAGGGGCCGTTAGTCACGTGCCAGGAGGGGCTTAGGTTGAGAAGGAGGGGCCTAGGTTGAGAAGGAGGCGCCGTTAGTCACGTGCCTCAAAGGTTGAGAAGGAGGGGCTTGAGGTACTGCGCACTGCAGTGAGGGGCTTCTCCTAAAAACGGGGGAACAACGGAGTATATTTGCGTCCGACATGACGTAATATCTGAAATGTGGGCTGGCTTTACACCCACGGCACTAGGGCTGAACGATTCATCGATTTTAAATCGAAATCGCGATTTTAAATGATGCGATTACCAAATCGCAAAGTCTGCGATTTTAGGTTTTTTGTTTTGTTCTTCTTGTGTGTCAGTCATCCACACCAATCAGAAGTGCTGTGCTCCACATGTACCAGCCATTGTTAACCAATCAGAAGTGCTGTGCTCCACATGTACCAGCCATTGTTAACCAATCAGAAGTGCTGTGCTCCACATGTACCAGCCATTGTTAACCAATCAGAAGTGGCCCATGATAGAAGGTGATAGACAGATTGATCCAATCACCTGCCAAGTATTTTTGAAACACTTTTCCAAATGGCTTCCAATGGAGCTTTCCTAGATGGTTTGGTGAAGTCCGGTTAGTAATGCTCCATCATGTGTTTAAATCTATTACAGGGTGAATCTTAAACTGACTTTAAATTGACTTTAAAGCAACCCAACGGAAGTTTCTTTCACTCGTAGCTCGGGCTGCGGGGGTGCTAGAGACGGGAGCACGTTGATGCGACCTTCCTAGCCGGAGATATGGCCACATTTTACAATAAACTTCCGTTGGGTTGCTTAAAAACAAATATCGCAAATCGAATCGCAATATCTGTCAGAAAAATCGCAATTAGATTATTTCCCCAAATCGTGCAGCCCTACACGGCACTATCAGAAAGTTGCTATCAGAAACCATGCGCGACATGTTTTGGACGTAATATGGTATTTGTTTACATTAGCAAACATCGCTAACACTCAGAGCTAACCTGTACTGGAGAGATTATGTGTAAAGAAGCTGGAAATAAAAAAAGGAACTCGTCTTGTAGTAAACCCGCAAGAGAAAAAGCATTTGAGCTCCATACTGTTTCAGAAATAATCCTGCAACAGGACCAGTTGACTAACATTAGTTTCCTGATTGTGTGTTCCCAGGTCTGCTTGGGATGGTGGGTCACATGATGTTCATGCAGGTGTTTCAGACCACCGCCTCGATGGGACCAGAAGACTTCAAGCCTCACAGCTACGGCTACTCCTGGGCCTTCTAGTGAGTCCATTAAACACACTTACATATGTTCTGCTACTAGGCATGGCACGTGTATTTATATAGCACCTTTCAACACAAGGCATTTCAAAGTGCTTTACAAAAATGAAAGACATTTACCACATCCTGACTGAACGCTTCTTAACAAACACAGTAAGAAACAGGCAAGAACAATATTTTTTGACATAAGATACTAAACATATCCACATCCTGACTGAACACTTCTTAACCCTTATGTTGTGTTCGGGTCTCCCGTGACCCATTTCAAGTTACAATTATATAATAACTACGCTCTAGTTTTTTTTTTATCGGAACGAGGCTTCATGATATCCTCCACAACAGCTATATAAACTCTACAGAACAGATTTTGACCATTTTAGCCAAGTCTGAAGGTCTGGGGAGACCCAGCAGAATAATAACAGAAAAGGAAATAACTATTTATTTAAAGGTAGGGTAGGTAATTTTGGAGAAACCAGCTCGAGTGCGCTAGAATTTGAAAATGCGCTCATGACCAATGAGGGCACGAGATAAGTTTGTGCACAGATGGAAGGCTGACAGGCAGGTAGGCCATCCAGTTACTTTAGCCGGCTCAGATGATTGGTCGTGCTTTTTACAGCGCCACGGCTTCCACAGATGACATTTCTTTATGGATTTTTTGTCAAAGCACTTCATATATTCATTGCTATCGGGATGTTGAAAGCATTCCATGGAATATAACAACAAGTGTATCTCGAGCCGGTTTCTCAAACTTACCTACCCCACCTTTAACACAAAAGATACTAAATATATCCACATCCTGACTGAATGCTTCTTAACAAACACAATAACAGAACAAGGAATAACAATATTTTTTCAACATAAAAACACAGGAATAAATCAGAGAGAGGTGCAGGCCTTAAGGGGTTACGAGCATTAAGAATTAGTGCAGGAGAAGCATATTACAAAACGGCATCTTGAATAATAAAAGATTATAAAACGTGAATAACACAGGTACATGAATAAAAGTGACAGTGCAGTGTGAGATGTGAATAGTTCAATTAAAAGCAGTGGCAAAAAGAAAGTCTTCAGGCTGGATTTAAAAAATAGTCAGAGTTGCAGCGGACCGGCAGGTTTCTGGTATTGTTCCAGATATTCGGAGCATAATAACTGAACGCTGCTTAATAACTGAACGCTGCTTCTCCATACTAGGCGTCTCTCCATTAAAACAATGACAAAAGCTTCATTAAACATGGGAGTTACTGTCTTCATTACTAACGTCATCACTGATCATGTCGTTCTGTACGCCAGGTTGCCACTAAAGTTTGTTTTTGTCTCTGATAACTCAAGATCCAGACATTTTGGAGCTTTTTATCTGAAGTCGAGGTCTCTGCAGAGAACTAAAACTTCTCTGAAAGTCTCAAGAATCAAAGTCAGTCAACTTTGACTTGGACCATAGAGTACTGAGGGTTTGTGAGTTAACTTGCAAAGCATATTTGAAAACCATATTTGTCGCTCCCTTTGGTATGGAGGAATGTTTTCAGGACTTCCTGCTGAGTCCTTGCCTGACAAACTTAAATTCTTGACATGGAAACAAGCTTTTCCTCGGGCCCCGCTCTGCCCAGACACATTTTTTCTACATCAATTCCTCCAAGTCTTCATGTGGGATCACTTCACACTTCCATTCAGTCTTCTCCTTTTCATCCTTTCTTTGTAGCATCACAGTTTTACAACCACAGCTTCTGCAGTTCTTTTTGGGAAGCGTTTCCTCTTTGTGTTTAAACCGTTTAAACGTGTTCGAACAAAGTCTGCATGGTCCATTTCCTTCAAGTAACATTTTGAATGGAAAAGAGTCTCAGGCTTTGCAAGAAAGCCTAGTTATGTAGGTATATCCTGTACTTCTAGGAAAACAGCAAACTACTTCAAAATGTCTTCTAAATAGAAATAAAGCCTGCTGGAGCCGTGGGGTCAATACCTGTTTATTAGTTTAGATAAGCTAATAAGAAATGGTATTTTTCTGTTTTACATTTCAGTATAATTATTTTTTTTAAAGTTGCAAACTTAGGAGTAAAATGGGACAACATGTTTTACCTTGTACATTTTTATGTAAGAACAGAGTTTTTATTTTCCAGTCAGTTTACTTTCAACTGGGAAGTTATTTTTCCTCTGAATATGACCTCGATCACAATGATTTTTCCTGCGATGGCAATGTATCATACCATTGGATATAAGAGAATTTCTTGAGAGCCTCTCTTCTGCTCTGAGAGGTGGTCTTGCTTTTTTGAGAAGAGGAAATCATGCTAGTTTTCCAAGTCGTTTTCCTTAAAGGTCACCTATCGTGCAAAATCCACTTCTTCATGTCTCTTCTACATCAACATGTGTCTCCTCTTCTCCATGTCTCTTCTACATCAACATGTGTCCCCTCTTCTTCATGTCTCTTCTACCTCAACATGTGTCCCCTCTTCTTCATGTCTCTTCTACATCAACACGTGTCCCCTCTTCTTCATGTCTCTTCTACATCAACATGTGTCCCCTCTTCTTCATGTCTCTTCTACATCAACATGTGTCCCCTCTTCTCCATGTCTCTTCTACATCAACATGTGTCCCCTCTTCTTCATGTCTCTTCTACATCAACATGTGTCCCCTCTTCTTCATCTCTCTTCTACATCAACATGTGTCCCCTCTTCTTCATGTCTCTTCTACATCTACATGTGTCCCCTCTTCTTCATGTCTCTTATACATCAACATGTGTCCCCTCTTCTTCATGTCTCTTCTACATCAACATGTGTCCCCTCTTCTCCATGTCTCTTCTACATCAACATGTGTCCCCTCTTCTTCATGTCTCTTCTACATCACCATGTGTCCCCTCTTCTTCATGTCTCTTCTACATCAACATGTGTCCTCTCTGTGGAAAGAGACTCTGAAAGTTTCAGGAACAAAGATTCTCTCTCTTTTTGTTCTGATCCATTTCTATAAAAACCTGTCTGAAAATGAGCTGATCAGATTTTGGCCACTTTATGATGTCATAACGATGTTTTGTCTTGTGTAACCATTAGCCAATCACCAACCAAGGTAACCCCCCACCCCCACCTTATCACCTGAATCTCCTCCTAGAGCACCATTGTGTTCTTTTTAACCAAATCTCTCTCAGAGGGGCGTGGGGAGGGGCTCCTGATTTTCATCTAAAGTAACAGACAGAGAATCAGCGCTTTGGAAACAGGGCTGAAACAGAGGGGATTACTATAATATAATATATTATAATATATTGCACTCGTCAAAGTCCTCAATGACCTCCTCACCTCTGCTGACACTGGTTCCCTCAATATTCTCATCCTCCTCGACCTGAGTGCAGCCTTCGATACCGTGAGCCACAACATCCTGCTCACCCGACTCAGGGACATTGGTATTGAAGGTATTGCACTCAGATGGCTCCAGTCCTACCTCACTGAACGATCCCACTTCATCTCCCTCCCCAACCACTCCTCTGCCACAGCCTCAGTCATCCAAGGCGTTCCTCAAGGATCAGTACTTGGCCCCCTCCTCTTCATCATTTACATCCTCCCCCTCGGTCAGATACTCCGCCACTTCAACCTGGACTTCCACTGCTATGCTGATGACACTCAGATCTACCTCAGCACCAAATCCCTCCATGACCCACCCCTTACCCACATCGATTCCTGTCTGACAGCTATTAAAACTTGGATGCAACATAACCTCCTCAAACTGAACAGCAACAAAACAGAACTCCTCCTAATCGGCTCCAAATCCACCCTCAGCAAGGTCACTAACATAACACTCACCATTGATGGCATCATTGTTTCCCCCTCCAATCAGGCACGCAACCTTGGCGTAATCTTTGACCCCACCCTCTCCCTCGAACCTCACATCCACCAAACAGTCAAAACCTCATTTTTCCACCTCCGCAATATTACAAAAATCCTACCCTCTCTCACCCGCCCTGCAGCCGAACGACTAATCCATGCCTTAATTTCCTCCCGCCTTGACTACTGCAACTCACTTCTTTACGGCATCAGCACTACATCCCTCAACAGACTCCAACGGGTTCAAAATGCAGCTGCACGTCTCCTCACGCATACCAAATCATGGCATCACATCACCCCAGTCCTCAAAGACCTCCACTGGCTTCCTGTCTCCCATTGCATCAACTACAAAGTTCTGGTCCTCACCTACAAAGCACTCCACCATCTGGCCCCCCCTTATCTCACAAACCTTCTCACTCCGTATCAACCCCCACGGTCCCTCAGATCCACCGCAGCCGGACTCCTATCCATTCCCACATCCACACTCTGCAGCTTTGGGGACAGAGCCTTCTCAGTGGCAGCTCCTAGGCTCTGGAATTCCCTCCCCCAAGATCTTCGTGACTCTGAGTCCCTCACAGTCTTTCAGTCCCGCCTCAAAACACATCTTTTCAACTCTGTCTACCCATAAGCCCCCCCCCCTCTCAATCAACTTCCTCTTGACTGCCTTTTTATTTTTACTATACTTACTTGTTTGCCTGTCCTTGTTTGTCTACCCTCCCTCATACTGTATGTCTTTGAGTTGTGAAAAGCGCTATATAAATAAAATGCATTATTATTATTATAAAAACAGTATAATAGGGGACCTTTAAGTCGAACTCTGACTGGCCCCAGTATGCACCCAGTCACTCCCCTTCTACAAAGTAACGTCCCAGTGAAACCCTTCTGGTCTGTGTCTCCGTCAGCATGGCCTGGTGTGCCTTCACTCTCTGCATGTCAGCCGGAGTCTCTACCCTCAACAACTACACCAAGACCGTCCTGATGGTCGGCCCGCGACGGACCTCCAGCCTCAACGCCTGCAGCTTCAACATCGTGGGTTTGCTGCCTCCTTACTACACCCCCGTGAACCCCGCCCTCACCTCTCCCCCGTCTCCCCCCCGGATCTCCCACCTGTCTCCCTACTACAAAACCCCGTCCGCCAGTCAAAGGCACTCCGACTCCCTGCCTCCTCTTCCTCACTCCAACTCCTTCCCTCCTCCACCCTCCCATCTCGCATCTGCTTCCTCCATCCATCGCCTCTCGTTACCCTCTCAAACGCCATCATACCCACCCTCCGTCTCCCCCCGCCTCCCCCTGCAGGGACACCAGGAGAGCCGCTACGATCCGGGAGAGGACTACAGCCCACTGTGAATTATACTGCTTTTATTCAGACTGGAGTCTTTCTTTGATAGCAGGACTTGTGACTATAGGGTGGTGCAGCGATGATTTAAGTTAGCAATTTTCGACACTCAAGACATAACCAAATATATAACAAAATAGAAACACAGACATACTGCTGATTGAAGGACTTATTATATTGTTGTACAACAGTATAAGAGCCAGAATACTTGCGTCAAATCCACCAAGAGTTTATGTGTCTGTCTAAAGAATAACAGAATCTCACAGGTTTTATACACTTCTTTTTAGTTTACACAGCACTATACCTTTGGACCTTTTCCAATCACATGTTACAAGATCCTATGCTCAATAACACCCTGCAAACATTCATGGTACAAAGGTCTCTTTAGGCAAGGCAAGGCAAGTTTATTTATATAGCACTTTTCAACACAAGGCAATTCAAAGTGCTTTACAAAAAATGAAAGAGATTAAGAAAATGGCATTTAAAATCAGTCATTAAAAAGAAAAGATAATAAAAGAAACATTAAAAGAAATAATACATGGATAAAAGTTACAGTGCAGTTTAAGATATGAATAGTTCAATTAAAAGCAGCGACAAAAAGAAAAGTCTTCAGCCTGGATTTAAAAGTAGTCAGAGTTGCAGCGGACCTGCAGGTTTCTGGGAGTTTGTTCCAGATATTTGGAGCATAATAACTGAACGCTGCTTTACCATGTTTAGTTCTGACTCTGGGGACAGAAAGCTGACCAGTCCCTGAAGACCTGAGAGATCTGGATGGTTCATAATTTAGCAGGAGGTCAGAAATGTATTTTGGGCCTAAACCATTCAGTGCTTTATAAACCAGCAGCAGTATTTTGAAATCTATTCTTTGACACACAGGAAGCCAGTGTAAAGACTTCAGAACAGGAGTGATGTGATCCACTTTCTTAGTGTTAGTGAGGACTCGAGCAGCGGCGTTCTGAATCAGCTGCAGCTTTCTAATAGATTTTTTAGTGAGACCTGTGAAGACACCATTGCAGTAGTCGAGTCTACTGAAGATAAAAGCATGGACAAGTTTTTCCAAATCTTGCTGTGACATTAGTCTTTTAATCCTAGATATATTCTTTAGGTGATAGTAGGCTGATTTAGTAACTGTTTTAATGTGACTGTTGAAACTCAGGTCAGAGTCCATGACTACACCTAGATTTCTGGCTTTATCTGTTGTTTTGAACATTGCACACTGAAGCTCAGCGCTAACTTTGATACGTTCTGACTTGGCTCCAAAAACCATTACCTCAGTTTTATCTTTGTTTAATTGGAGAAAGTTCTGACACATCCAGTCATTGATTTGTTCAATGCACTTACTCAGTGTTTGAATTGGAGCATAGTCTCCTGGTGAAATTGTTACGTAAATGTGTGTGTCATCTGCATAGCTATGGTAACTTATTTTGTTGTTCTTCATTATCTGAGCCAGTGGTAGCATGTAGATGTTAAAGAGAAGAGGCCCCAAGATGGAGCCTTGAGGTACCCCACATGTCATATTTGTCAACTCAGATGTGTATTTACCTATAGAAACAAAGTTGTTTCTGTCCTTTAAGTAGGATTCAAACCAATTTAGAACTGTTTCCGAAAGTCCCACCCAGTTCTCCAGTCGGTCTAGTAATATGCTGTGGTCAACAGTGTCAAACGCAGCACTGAGATCTAATAATACTAACACTGAAGTTCTGCCACTGTCTGTGTTTAAGTGGATGTCATTAAAGACCTTTACAAGAGCAGTCTCAGTGCTGTGGTTTGGACGAAAGCCTGACTGGAACACATCAAAACAGTTATTTAAATGCAAGAAATTACTCAACTGTTGAAAAACAACTTTTTCAATGATTTTACCTAGAAATGGGAGGTTTGATATGGGCCTGTAATTGTTCATTACTGAAGCATCTAGATTATTCTTTTTTAAGAGCGGTTTAATGACTGCAGTTTTCAGGGCCTGTGGAAAAATACCTGAGTGAAGAGATTTGTTTACTATATGAAGTAGATCTGAGGCCATGCAAGGCAAAACATCTTTGAAAAATCCTGTTGGAATAATATCAAGGCAGCAGGAGGAGGATTTCAGAAGTTGAATAATGTCCTCTAGGTTTTTATCATTAATCTGATGGAATTGTGTCATGGTGTTTGAATTGATGTTAGGTGAACACAGAAACAACACATTTGCTGTTCCTGATGCAGAGGCACTGACTGCTTGTCTGATTTTCTGAATTTTGTCAGTGAAAAAGGAGGCAAAATCATTGCACGCCCTGGTGGATAGAAATTCAGAGGCTACTGACACTGGCACGTGCGTTGTTTTTGTTTTTGGTAATGATGTCAGAGAAGAACGATTGTCGTGCGTTTTTCAATTCCAAATTATAAAGGCCAAGTCTCTCTTTATAGATTTGAAAGTGAACCTGGAGATTTGTTTTTCGCCACCTGCGTTCAGCTTTTCGACATTCTCTTTTTTCTGTTTTCACGGTCATGGCCTTTCTCCATGGAGATATTTTCTTGCCAGACACTTCCTTTACCTTAGTTGGAGCAATGGCATCTATAACATTTTGAATTTTTGAATTAAAATGATCTACTAGCTCATTTACTGAGATGTTAGCAGGGGCAAGTGTGGAAGAAAAATTCTGAGTAAACATTTCTCTAGTATTTTCAGTTAAATATCGCTTTGTGGTTACCTCTTTTTGAACATTTTTGTGAACAGAAATAGAGCTCTCAAAGAAAACACAGGAATGGTCAGAGAGTGCAACATCAGTCACCACAACCTTAGAGATATTCAGACCCTTTGAGATAATTAAGTCCAGAGTGTGCCCCTTATTGTGCGTGGGCTCCGTCACATGCTGAGTCAGTCCATAGCTATCAAGAACACAAAACAGTTCTTTAGCCCCTCTGTCCTGGGGGTTGTCAACATGGATGTTAAAATCACCAACAATGACTAGACGGTCAAAGTCAATACACACTATAGACAGCAGTTCAGTAAAGTCATCAAAAAAGCTTGCACAGTATTTGGGTGGTCTATAGATATTTAGGAACAGAGCTCGAGAGGAGCATTTCAGCTGAAGGGCCACATATTCAAAAGAATCAAAGTTTCCATACGATGTCTTCCTGCATTGAAGGGAATCATTGAACAGAATAGCAACTCCACCCTCTTTCTTATGCATTCTTTCCTGACTCATAAAACTAAAGTTGGGAGGGGTTGATTCGATAAGAACAGCTGCACTGTTATTTTGTTCAATCCAAGTTTCTGTTAAAAACATAAAATCGAGATTGTGCTCAGTGATAAAATCATTGATTAAAAATGTTTTTCCTGCCAAAGACCTGACATTTAATAAAGCTAGTTTAAGTTTGTTAAACACACTATCAGTCATGTTTTTTGTAACAAGCTGTGGCTGACATGGAATCACTGCTAAATTAGATAAACTCACACAAACGTTTGAGCGCTTCCTGTTTCTAAGATGATTCACCGCTCTTTAGATAAACTAAAGGATGAAACTCACTAGCATGATTTACAAATCATGATAATATAATATAGATTATTTCAAAAGTATCTCCCTGGTTCCCTTGACAAAAAGCTAATGGGATTTTCCATTGGATTTTCGGAATATTGCAGAAAATAAGCTCTGATGGCAAACAAATGTTTATGATACTTACATGTTTCGTACCACAGGATAATTTCCATATATTAACACCACACGCTATAAAGAAACTACATCACGGTCACATGACTTCACATCACCACCGCTAAACTAAAGGTGGCTAATGTTGGGCTATAAAGGAACTACAGCACGGTCACATGACTTCACGTCACCACCGCTAAGCTAAAGGCGGCTAATGTTGGGCTATAAAGGAACTACAGCACGGTCACATGACTTCTCGTCACCACCGCTAAGCTAAAGGTGGCTAATGTTGGGCTATAAAGGAACTAAATCAAGGTCACATGACTTCACACCACCACTAAGCTAAAGGTGGCTAATGTTGAGCTATAAAGCAACTACATCAAGGTCACATTACTTCACGTCACCACCACTAAGCTAAAGGTGGCTAATGTTGCGCTATAAAGGAAGTACATCAAGGTCACATTACTTCACTTCACCACCGCTAAGCTAAAGGTGGCTAATGTTGGGTAACTTGGGGATGATCCAGGCTTGCAGAAAGTAAACCAGAAGTTAAAGCACATTTCCGTGGTGGCCATTTGGTGGTACTACAACTTCAGTGTTTCTCTGTGACATCATTTGGTTGCTAAAAAAAACTTTTGAATGCAAATTAATTTCCAGGTTTTAGGACTCATTCCTGCACCACTCTATTTAATGTTCACTAAAGTCTAAATATGCTTGGTGAGCAGTCAACAGAACGTTCAAATGCACCATTGTTTTGTAAACTGAATATACTTTTACTGTATTATTTTAAAAAGTCTCTTACTCTCTTACTATTTCCAATTCAAAGTTTTTAACAGTGTGAATCTTGTTTTTGCAATTCACAAAATATTAATAAATGTGGTTATCAAACTGCTTTTTGTCTCCAATTATTCTGACAATCATTTAACAGAATTTAACACTTATAGGTGGGGTATGTAATTTATTTCAGAAACACTTTTTGTTATATTCCATGGAATGCTCTTAACATCCCGATAGCAATGAATATATGAAATGCTTTGACAATAAATACATTAAAAAATGTCATATGTGGAAGCCGTGGCGCTGTAAATAGCATGACCAATCATCTGAGCCGGCCCGGCTAAAATAACTGGATGGCCTACCTGCTTGTCAGCTTTCCATCTCGTGCACAAATTTATCTCGTGCCCTCATTGGTCATGTGCGCGTTCGTGTGTGTTGGAGGAGGGGCTCTGTGAGGAAGTGGCAGATTTTTTCCGGCTGTGTATTTTCAAATTCTAGCGCACTCGAGCTGGTTTCTCCAAAATTACCTACCCCACCTTTAATCAACTACTTTTTACTCCTTATGACTAATGGGGGAAACAAAAACATCAATAATTGGTCGGAAATCAAGT